GTCTTTTGTTCATATAATATAAAAACAAGTCCAAGATATAATTTTAGAAAATTCTAGAAAATTTAAAAAATTTTGAAATTTAACATACGATTTTATAAAAATGTTGAAACTTCTAAAAGTTTAAAAAACTTCTAAAAGTTTAAAAACACTTAGATTTTTTTAAAAAATATTTTTAAAATAGCCTAAAGAATCTTAACAAATCTTAATAAAGTTTGATCTGAAAATCTTTAAGCACGGTCGGTGTCAGATAAATAGACTTTAATATAATGGTAATCATTTGATTATAGAATTTTTGAATAATTTTTGATATAATATATTAATTTTTTTTAAAATAAGCCTATAATAATTCAAAAATAATAAACTAAATACTTATAATTATTAGGGTGGAAGGGGGAATCCAGTTTATATCTTATCGAGGGCAATCCATCATTAACAATATAAATAGATATAATAAATCTATTGATTAATGCATAGCCATATTCAGTTTCATATAGAGTGAAGGGGAAAACGCTATTAGGCTGGTTTTCCCGCCATAAATCTTATTGGAGATCTTTAGGTCCAGCTAGGCCTTTGGCTATAATATATTTTTATAAAAATAATTTTGTGTTTTCAATTTTTTTTAATAAAATTTTAAATTATTACTTTAAAAAGTTATTATAATTTTTCTTTCAAATTCTACTTTATAGTAATTATCTTGTATACATTTTTGAAGGAGAGGGGGAGGGTGTGGGGTCTGTATGGGGGATGATTATTATTATCTTAAAATGATATTTACGAGAACAAGCAAATTTGAGATCCCTCGCCCCCCGGTTATTCACCTGGATTAATAAAATTATAAATCAGGCAAAATTTTATATAATAATTATACATTATAATTTCTTCATTTTTTTTTACCCATTTACATTGAATGTTCTCTATCGATTCGATTTGTTAAATAAATAGAATGCTTCATCACTTGTAAAATGAAGTTCAGAATAAGCAAATTCAATAATTAAAAATTATTATAAGACAAGAAAGATTAAATGAAATGGCTTTTTATAACTCATCTGATATATTTTTTTTCCTCGCATAACGATTTAACAACTTTTCCAATCATTTTTACATAACTTTTTTTGGAAACTGAATTATACCATTTTCATAAAATATCACTTTTTCTTTTTTTTTGATTGAGAAGCCCTTAAGTATTATGAAGTGGAAGATTCCCTTAAAGTTATATAAATTTTAATTATCATTTTATTATGATAAAATACTTTTAAATATTTATTTTTTAATTTTTATATTTAAAGCTTTTTTAAAACCGAGCCCGGCCAAGGTCGAAGTATAAATTTTTAGTGAACTCGGAGCATACATATAGGGTGCCTTTCTTTACTTTTTTTCTACAAAAAGATATATGGGAAAAATGAGCCATTGCAATTAATATTTATTATATTATAAAAAAATGCAACATTTATAAAAATAAAAGATATTAATTTAAATCATGATTTCTTATCTATAATTTTTTTTTATAATGCCATGTATATAGTCCGTTTTAACCCTCCAAAAGAATCTTAAATCCTCGTATCATTATAATTTTATTTCAAAGTGTAGTTTTAAATTATATGAACCCGAATCTTTATTTATAACGATTCAGTTTGGTTACGGTTCAGTAACAATTATGATGTTTTACGGTTCGACTACGGTTCTTAAGAAAAAGTTGATAAAGTTTCGGTTCGGATCAGCTAATTGTAAAGGTTTATAAAGGTTCATTACGGTTTGAAAATATTTTTAAAATTATTTTTATTGTAGCAACGTCATCGTATAATGATTTTAATTATGAATATTATTTATTAAAATTTTTGCCATAACTTAGGTTAATTTATTTGTTTATTTATAAAATAAATGAAATTAATATATTTTTATTATAAGCATCTATGAATAATATATAAAAAAAATCTATAAGAATCATAACTCATTTTTAAATATATCTCCGAAAGTATAAAGTAATATATTTTCTAATAAAATTGGATTCATATTTGTTTGTTATGAGTATGACAATAACACAAATTTTACCCCCGATCCTTTCAACAGAAACTTGTTTATTGGGAACCGTAAGTACTATAAGAACAAGTTTATATAATTTTAGATATTCAAATTTTTTTAAATCCCAATATATAAAAACTGTTTTTTAGATTAACTAAATAATGCAATTAAATCAAAAAAAAATTATTTAGATATTTTTACTAAAATATAGAAGATAGGAATATGGTTCTAATACTATAAGAAATAATACAAAAATAATATGAGGTTAAAGCAGACAAATATTGTAAAATTATGATATTGATAAATTAATTAGAATTCATCATCAATTTCGAAAGCCACATCATATGAATATTATTGATTTAAAAAATAATATAAAAAACAGATTTGAACAACTTTGCAAATACTTGCATTCAAAATCTATTTTTCATAATAAAGGCTATAAATTACTAATGTTATAAAATATACTCAATGCTAAAATTCTATAAATAATATATTACATTAAAACCTTATAAATTTTGTCATTTTGAAATTTATATAGGAATATTGACCATTCTATCAAACTACTCATGGGTAGGTGGTGATATTATACTTAATTAATTAAATAAATGCAACTAAATCAAAAATTTAGAATTGGTTATTTAGATATTTTGCATACTAAAATAGAGAAAATAGGATGGCTCTTATACTATATGAAGCAGTTAAAAGATTTTGTATCAATTTAAGTCATAGTGAAAAAAATTAATATATACTTCTTATGGATATTAAACAAATATTTTGATAAAGTTAATAATTATAAATAACGACGCAGATATGGTAAAATATGTAATACACCACAAGGAAAAGAAGGTAATTGATTGAAACCAGTTTAACCCCGTTCAAACCGGTTTAACTTTTTTTGTTAAGGTTTTATTTTACTCCTTCAAAAAATAATTATATCGGTTCGATTACGGTTCAGATATTTGTTAAGGTTCATAATAATTTTACGGTTCACTTCGGGTCCCTGTATGAAAATTTCTTCTTTTTTAGTGAGCTTAAGTAAAAAAAATTGACGTTTAATTTATTTCCATCTCTTTATAAAGCATAAATAAATTAGATCAAAAAGACAACTTTTGAAGTGATTTTTTAATGAATGTTTTTAATAAAAATGTCTTACTTTTAGCTACGTGCTCGTCTAAATATAATTTCGCATAATTTTTTTTTTGATTTGAATAGATTCAATTTTTTAAAAGTTATTGTTTTTAAAAAACTTATATATTATTTATAAAAGAGTCTTCTGAAATATTAATAATTGGAAAAAAACCAATAATTATTTTTTTAGATGTATAATTAATGTACAAAATTATAAAAATAATATTAATGTATATTATTTTGTGTCATGTTATACGAACAAAATTTACATAATTGTTTATCATTTAAATTCATTCATTTTCCTTTCTACATATATAATTAAAAAATTCTAATGATAATGCATGTCGTCGTATAACAAGTAGCAATTTCCTAACTACCACCAAATTTTATTAATCCATTTTTTAAATATATATTAACCTAGCCCATATATCTGATGGCCCTTTTAACCTCATCCTAGTCTCGTCAGCCTTTGGTTTGAGGAAAAAATTAAAAATTGGTCTTGCCATAAGGTGTTCTTTCTTTCTTTCTTTCTTTCTTTCTTTCTTTCTTTCTTTCTTTCTTTCTTTCTTTCTTTCTTTCTTTCTTTCTTTCTTTCTTTCTTTCTTTCTTTCTTTCTTTCTTTCTTTCTTTCTTTCTATTAAGGATTAGATTTGAAAATAAGAAGAGTTGGCAAAAAATTTATTGATATTATTCATACGAATTTTTCTCAAATTTACTAAAATCTTTAATTAGTAAATATTAGAATTATTCGTTAATTGTTAAATTAAATTATTGCAAATATTCATGATTAGTCCTTTTCCTAAATATAAAATTAAGGGCACTGTAATCAAATATTTTAATTTTTTTCAGTCATTTCCTATATACATTTTTTTTATTGCGGTAGTTGACTTCCTGCTTATAATTTCCTAAAGTCACGTTTAAACAATTTACATCCTGCGTGAGCGTCTAGTTTTAGGCACAAATATGATTACCAAAGATCATATGTCTTCAAAATAAGAAACAATTAGGAACATTTTATTGCTGCTGAAATGAAAAATTGGCTCTATTTTTTTATAAATTAATTTTAAAGATAGTTATTTCTATTATAAATGCATCTAACATACGATTATTAATTATGCAATGTTTTTTAATTTTATCATTTTTGATATTTATAATAACTTCGATAATAGTTATTCGTATTCCCAATTATTCAATTCAGGATCTATAAGCCAAATACAAATATTATATTATTCGCTTCGATTTTCTGGAGGGATAAATCGAGGATTTTTTTTGTAGGATAATCTTGGGTTTTTTGTAGGATAATCTTGGTTTTTTTTTACAAAAGCAATGCAAGTCTGGCCTGGCATGCATTACATTACTCTATTATAAATATATTAATAGTGTTTTTGGTGATTTTAAATTATTAATGTATTATAAAAAGCAGAGACCAGAGTAAATAGTTCATTTATTTTTAACGGGTGATAGTTAGATGATTTTTGCAAAAAAATATTTAATTTTTTTATAAGCGATTTTTTTCTACGCAAATTAATGAGAAGATTTACAACCAATTAAACATGATTCTTAATTAAAATATTTCCAGCTGGAAATAATAAAATTTTTTTTAAAACAAGAAATCTAATTAGAAGATCGTATATTACGAAAAATATGCTTAAATTTATATTTAAAAAATAATTAACAGTAAAACTTTTCTAACTCGATTGTATTTTTATAATAAATTTTATGTTCCATCTAATAATTAATTTGTTTTATAAAATAAATTGATTATTTTTTATTGAATGAGATATTTTTTTTTATTAATAAATTTGGCTGATAAAGTATTATATAACCTGAATTTATGTTTTAAAAACAAAAAGAACACAATATTTAAAAAATGGATAACATAAGAAATGGATGATATTAAACGCTTCGAAATAAATCTCAATCGATTCGTATATTACCCGGGGCAAACGATTGGTGGTCACGTGCTGTTGGAGTTATGTCAAAATATCAGAATTAGAAGTTTGAGCTTGCTTATGACAATAAAAAATAATAATTTAGTTGCGTGCTAAAAAAAGTCACATTTTTTGTTTAGATCACATCCCAATTATAAATCAGTCCAGCCCGTAATTTTCGGCCCAAAATTTCTACAGATATTTTAAGGCCTGGTCCGGTTAAAAATTTTTTTTTTATTCCAATCCGGTCAACTTTTGTTTAAAAAATTCGAATTATTCAAAATTGAAAAAAATTTCAGGCCCAAAAATTTGTTATTTCTAAATTGCCCTGCCCGAATCAAAAAAATTTTTTTAATCTCACTAATGAAAAAAAAAGGAGTAACCTGTTTTTTGAAGTTCCTTTATGACTTTATATAACTTGTATTATCGTTTCTATTAAAAATCATAAGAAATTAAATTATAATTAATTAAAATTATTAACTAATGTAATTTAGGAGCATATATAATAAGAGAAAGATATTTATTTTATATTATATATTTTGCTCTATATTTATTATAAAACTATTTAAAAAATTTTTTTTTTTAAATGTAAATTTTTATTATAATTATTTCTAAAACCATACAGGTGGCTTATGTGATTAATTCTAACCCTCTAATCTGTCCTAATTCGTTAATTTAGACCTTAAACTAAAAACCCAGATTTTTTTTATATAAAATTATCATTAATAAATATTAAATTGCAAAATTTGTTACAGTATAAAAAAAAACTAAAAACAATTGACATTAATAAATCAAGTTACATCTTTTCTGGTGTAGATATTAATGCGCTAACTAATTAATAAAAAAAAATTTCCCAGTGACAACATCAATACTGTAATAACATTCTATTTTCTTACTATTAAAATAATAAAAAAAACATTAATTTCTTTTTGTAAAAAAAATTAAATACATTAACAAGATATTAGAGTGAATTTGAAATGTAAAGCACATGTTAAACTCGAAGAGATCAAAAGAGGTGAAAAGAGATATCTAAAACAGGATCAATATTTCTTGGATGACACGGATATTATTTTCGGGAGAGGTTAGTTAAAGTTTATTTTATAATTAAAGGGTACTATTTTCTATATTAAGATACTACCTTCATAGTTAGCATAAATTTGCGATAAGTTGGTATAGATTTCATGATGCCGAATATGCCCGAATTGTTATACATTATATTGATTGAGATTATAGCTAAACCTATTTAGCCAAGAATTTTTCATATAAGTTATGTACATAATCAGAATTGTATTAATAAAAAAAATTTTTTGGCTAAATTTGAAACACTAACGAATATAATATTAAATTTGTATTTTTTTTAAAAAATTTTCTTAGACATTGAATTATTAAGAACATTATAATTAAAATAATGAATAAAGTATAATCGTTTTGTATCTGTATTATTATATTTATGATCAGTATTGCTAATCGAATCTAGAAATTCCGTGATTTTGATATTATATACTATAATATCAACAGAATCAATATTATCGCCACTACAAACCCCAATCTCTAATGGTAAACCACTTTCTATCTTGATCAAAGGCATCCACAAAATACCCTTCAAATTTACGCTCCCTGATAATTATTTGCCCTGCTCATTTGAAAGCAAATACGGACACATTAGGTACTTTACTATAAAAGCCCTGCAAATCAGCCTATTTATTAAACAGGGCCGGTGTTAAGTTTAAAAAATTAATTGAGCTGGGCTTTTATAATAAATTTGAAAGGAACTTACTGAAATGCTAAAATAAAATTTTTTTTTTTTTTTTCAATTAATGCTTAATTTGGTTCGAATTTTTGGATCTTTTTGGAACATTATCTATAATCATAGGCTAGATTTAATAAATTTATACCCAATCCTACCTGTGTACTTATTTGTAAAAAGAGGGTAGGCTGTTCACAACTTAATTGATCCCACACTTTTGAGAAGAAAAAATGTTAATTTGAGAATGGTGGGCTTAGAAATAGTTAGACTTTATTAGGTATATCAACCTTTAATTATCATAAATATTAAATATTGGCAATTATATAATACGCTATACAGGTATTTCTTAAAGGTTATCTTAGATATACCTTACGCTTCACCTCCTCAAGAAATTAAATATTTTACCATTATTGGACCGCCTCTAGAAAATGACGAAAAACATTATGTAATAATTAATTTTTCTTCTGGTTCATTAAAAATATCATAGAATGTATATTATTTTCGGTATAGCGTTATATAGTTTTAGTAGGTCGTGACTATAGTTGGGTAATTACTATATTTTTAGTCGGCTAAAAAAAATCAAATCATCTAAACCAAGTTTATATCCGAAAACGATCACTTTGGCCTCGAGGTTTTTCTTAAAAAGATAGCAAGCTTTGGAAGAAACTAATATAAATTAAAACGCCTTCATAATAAAGGATTTTCTCCGGCAGGCGCCTTAAATTGAGCCGAATTAGCCGACATTTAGCCATTACCCAACTCTAGTCATGACCAGCAATCAATATCAGCTTGATTTATATATTTATTTGCTGTTGAGTATAAAATTTTTTAATTACTTAAAAATATTCTGTATATAAAACATAATTTATCAAACTTCTTAGCAACCTCTAGTTTTACAGAAATCAAAAAATTTATGGTTCATGTGCGGTTTAAGAAAAGGAACCCTCTATCTTGACGTTAATTTGGACCGCATGGCCTATTGCTGTGGCGAAATTTTAAAATTTAAAACAAAAATCATAAACAAATCGTTTCAAAATATCTTCCTAGTCATCCAACTAATACAAGTATAATTTTTTTGCTTCTTTGGCTTCAGGATTTTTCTCTAAAATTTTGCAACTAAAATTTGAAATAAACTAATATAAATTAAAACATTTTATTGTTATTGAATTTTCTTCGGGACGGGCCTGTAGATTGAGTCGATGAACATTTAGCTATTACTCAACTTTCATTTATATACAATTTTATTCTTCTACAAAATATGCACTAAATTTCAAAGGTGACGATTTTGACAAAATATTTATTCCCATTTAAGTTAGAAACACGTGTAAAAATATATTTATTTATTTTATAAAATAGAAAGTGAATTACAATTGCAACGGGTATTTCAAAAGTGTTTCATACGTCGTAACCAACAATATATCTCCAAAAATATCTAACAACGCCAACGTTCAAATAACATCTTCTTCCTTTCGCATTCTTGTACCAGTCGTTCCACCAACACTTGAGCATATATGTCGGCTCATTCAAATATCCTACATTTTAAAAGTTTGACATAATGTTTTAATTTTTTAAAATAATTTTTTAAAAAATGGTCGGGAAGGAAACACGGTGAGATTAGCTCACATTATATTAAAAAAAAATAAAACACCAAAATTGAAAGCGGAGAATTCTTTTTTAAAAAAAAGCCTTATGGTTCTTGAAATATTTTTTGGTCCCAGATTCCGCCTCTTGGCAGATTTTTTATGGGTTTTTTAGATATAATAGACAATTTAAATAATTAACTCTTATAATTCATAAATTAGCCTCTTTATAGTTAACTTTCATTATAATTAACTAGATTTTAAGGTCCAGCCAAAAGCACAATCAATGTAATGTAAAACAATTCGGGCATCATTAAATAGTCATAAGAGTGGTGTCTTATATCTGCAGGACTAAAATTATTTCAATTTGCATATTAGAAAATACTGATTGTCAATATTAATCAGGGAATATATTAAATCATACTTTTTATTTTATCTCTCGTTCTAATGATAAAACTTTAATTTATTGATTCCCATTAAGTCGATAAAAAATAATATGTTTATAGCTTTATGGTTCCATTAGATAATCTGGTTATAATTGTATTATTTTTCAAATTTTATGGCAGTTTATATTTATAATAAATAATCAATTTCTATTTTAGTTTAGCTTAGATATCGAGCGCTCAAATAAACGATTAAGTCTAGATTTTCCCGTAATCATTTCCACAACTCCTCAAATCTATTCCAATGCTCCTATTCCAAAATTATATTACGGTTTATTTGGGATTTTAAATTATTTTATCAAACTCGCTTAATATTTTTAATTTTATAGAATTTGGAACTGAAACTAGTATTAAATGGCTCACCCAATATTCTAGCCAAAAAAATATTATGCAAACATCGACATTTTGCTCAAAGATTACACAAAGATTTGGGGATCATCTATTAACGAAAATCTCGAGGCATGCGAAATATTATTTTGGCTAAAATCTTGATTCAAATCGATCCATTTAAAAACACTAACGAGAATTATCGAGACAAAACTAGAACCCCTCTCTTAAAATTTAGTTACCGAGGAGAGAAGCCTTTTTAAATGTCTAGAAACCGAAATAGGTCATAAAAAAGTATACGATTAATTTACAATGTTTATTAACATTTTGGAATCGAAACCACAACCAGCGCAGGTCTAATAAAAGAATGTGATGTCCAGTAAGGGTGGGCAAAAATCATTAATTTTTTTATTTAAATCTTGACGAGTTTAAAATGTTCCTTAAAATAAAATCAATTATAAAATCAGAGTTGTTAAAGGATCGAGATCAAAGGATCGACAATCCTGATTTAGGCAATTTACCCGGATTTATGATTTCTCTTAAATTGAGGATCGTGATCATTGTTAAATATTCGATCCTTTTAAAATTTATTCTTTTTTTACTTAAAAAGTATATAAATAAAAATATATAAATTTTTCTAGAAAAATCTATCTCGATCATATTTTAATATCCTCATCCATATTATATATTTTTCTCAGAAATTTTATCAATACAACATTTACGAATTTGATTTACAGCTTAGAAGTGATTTATTGAATTAAGAATAAAATAAATTATTTTAAGGTATTTACCAATGAATGTTTACTATAGATCTAGATAAGTTATTGAAGTGGCAGATATAAATGAGCTTTTACCTTGTCATCAGCTGCGTATAGTAAAGGTAATGATCATTTCTTATAATATATATTTCCTTCACTGTATGAGGATAATAGCATATTTGAAGTAATAATTCACTTAAAATTTATTAATTGGCTTTATATCAATCTGCTGAAAATATGTTAAAAGTTAATTACCCATTTGGAAATCCTGCAGGGTCAACCACATGCAAATGCTTATTCAAATAATTGTATTGATAAAATTGAATACTTTCTTTGAGAGAAATTTTTCGTAAAATGCACTTTCCCTTAGTTATTGAAGTGACAGATATAAATGAGCTTTTACCTTGTCATCAGCTGCTTATAATAAAGGTAATTATCATTTCTTATAATATATATTTCCTTCACTGTGTGAGGATAATAGCATATTAGAAGCAATAATTCACTCAAAATTTATTAATTGGCCTTATATCAATCTGCTGAAAATATGTTAAAAGTTAATTACCCATTTGGAAATCCTGCAGGATCAACCACATGCAGATGCTTATTCAAATAATTGTATAGATAAAATTGAATACTTTCTTTGAGAGAAATTTTTCGCAAAATGCACTTTCCCTTAATAATTTTTATATTCAAATGATGATTCAATTAATATTTTTAATATTAATATATATTAAAAAAATATTTAAATATTTCAGGAGCACTTGTTAAGTAAAGCTAAATATGTTCGTGGATGTTTGAATAATACTTTATAATTTTTTTTTTATTATTTAAAGGCTAATTTTTATTATAAATAATTTTATTAATATTATTCCATTACAATAAATTTACTGTTTAACTTATTTATGTATTAGTTAATTTTACATCGAGCATACATTTTCTTCTGGATTTCGATCCCTTTTTTAAAAAACATCTACGGATTCTAAAATGTATATAATATTCAATTTAATAAAAATAGTGATAATAATGTATGCAACCTTATAAATTCTTATTCGTTGTGATAATATAAAAATGTGGAAATAAATAAAATGAAACATTAAATAGAACAAAATCTTGAAAGATTTTTAATATCTGAAGCTTTTTATGCTAAAACATAATTTTTGATTAAATCTTACCCTTTAAAAAAGATAAATCTTTTGTGATTTTTATGCATAAAAAATGTTTCATGATGGAAATTTAATCTTATCAATCATCAAAGTTTTTATGCTCAAAATTTTGGGCAAAAAAAATCTTTTTTTACAAATTCTGAAATCAGGTTTTATAAAATAATATAAAAATTTTATGTGTACTAGAAAAAAAACAATTTAACACTTTCACTGTACAAAATCTTTTTCTAAAAATTTTTGATTCTAAAAAAATGCTATATTCAATTTTAAACATTATGATTAAAAATAATTTTATAACAATGTTTATATTATATTAACTAATAGTTAATTTTTTTAATATAAATCTGTATAAGGGCAAATTGAAATAATAATAGATTTTTCCTTAAATTTAAACAATTATATAATGATTTTTTATTTGTTATGGATTAACACAGTATCTAATTTTTAAATTTTTTTTAGCAATTGATTACAGCCTTTTCTTAGATTATAAGCAAAAAAAGGGAAAATTTATTTTAATCGTGATTATTTTAAAAAATCATTAATTTAAATATAGTTGTATCATGCCTATCCTAGTGTCTACATGACCACCAGGGAGAGTATGAGCCATTTGCCTCTATATATCTTTCAGGGGGTAAAAAATATTTTGGAACAGGAGGTACGAAAGTAAATCTAAACATGGTGCCTCCAACTTTTCATCGCATGAAACGTCTGTATAAATCACCGTCATATTAAAAATTTTTAGAACCACAGAAATGCCTTCCTTTTTGAAAAATATTTGGAACCTAAATGCCTTTATATGTGATTCCATTTTGCAATTTTAATTTAATAAATAATTTAATTTTTGTATGTAGATTTTACATTCATTTTTAAATAAATATTTAATTTTTCAAAAAGAACATAGCGTCACCCATGTAGAAGGTGGTAACTACATTCCGCCAGAATTTCTTGTAGGACAGGTTTATGATGGAGGGGCTTCTAATATTTTTCAAGATGGCTCAAAGTACGGAAGTCAAAAATCAAACTTAAATATGACTCCGGAATCATTGCTGAAGGATTCTCTGGAAACCCTGACACTCATAAATAGAAACGCCTATAAAACCTCACCGCAAACGAGTTTAGACGAATCGCGCACCCTATATAAACCCGTTTATGTTACCCTGACGTGCCCATCTGCGATAGTGACTAAATCGGAAGCAAAACAAATGTTTAACAAAGAGTTAGGTTCTACCATATCGATGCTACGCAATGGAGGCAGTGATCATCATCTGGAGGTAACTAATATCCCAGAGATTCAAAAAAAGAAAAATTCAGGCTTATTAACGAACGGAGCCTTGTATGATCAAATTTGAGCCTTTTTTATTTTAATTATTATGGACACACATTTATTTTAATTATTATGGACACACATCGCCTCACTATTTTTTTTCCAATCAAACAATAATTTTGTAATACGTTTAAACAATTATACTGTATTACGTTTAATTTTAAATAAAAAAGTCATATGAATCGAATAATTGCATTATTCGTATCCAATTGATTTAAATTATTAAGTGAAAAAAATGAATTAAAATTTAAAAAAATAAAGTTCCACATGGGATATGTCAAATAATGGAAAACTATTCGACGAATAATTTGTTTTAGGTAAAATTATTGATAATAAATAGTAAAAACACTAGACTAGAATGTAAAATCTTAAAATCAACATGAGTACATTTATTGATTAATATAAACGTAAGATTAAAATTATAAAAAAAGTAAATATAATATATAATATAGCATCCAACATCATAATACATAATCTAGATAAATATAATAAAATTAAAAAATAGTTATTATAATGCAATGTTACATTCATAATAATTTCCATTTTTTTCAGCAATGTACCAATAAATATAAATTCTTTGATTGATCCTATATAAAAAGTAGTAATAAAAACACGAGTAAATATTATATAAGATTAAGCGACCAGAACTAATATGTAAAGTTTCAGTTAGTTTAACATAACCATTTAATAATTTAAATAGAAAAAAACAAAATTACCTAAATTTCTTTGTTTATTTCCCCTGACTGTTATTATATTAATTGAATCGTTGACATTTTAAGGCAGAGTATCGTTTAGAATTTCCCTAGCGGAATCCGTTAACTTATCCGGAAAAACGATATCGAACCCAACTATAAGATCGCCCCTGTTGTTGGAAGATGATTTTGGAATGGGCAGGCCTTTGCCAAGTAACCTGCGGGTTGTAGTTGGTTTTGTGATTTCCGTTAACCTTAAGGCTTGTTTGGGACCACCTTCAAGTAGAGGGACTTGTATTGTAGTGCCACAAAGGGCCTATACAAAATGAAATAGAAAAAAATAAAGTGTAATATATAATAAATATGAAGAAGATGAAATAATTTTTGATAAAAGTTGGCTATTTAAAGAATGATATTAAAAATTTAAATGCGATGTAGAGAATGTAAAAAAGGATGCGCTTTTCATGCTCAACTACTATAAAAGATGAAACATATTTTTTTTATTGAATGTAAGAGAAGGGGGGGGGGGTTCTAAGTATTCTACCAAATCCACTATTACTTTTCTATTTCTAAATAAGTTTCTTATGTGCACACGTTTGCATATGTAATAAATGATATATAATACTTATATTACAATTGAAACATTTAAAAAAACAAAAGAAACTGTCCTCTCATAATAATTTGACTAAAAAACCCGAATCAGCGAAATTGGTTCTACTTGATTCTCAATATCTATTTTTTTTTAAATTAAAGGATTTAGTTTTTCCTTTTTTCCCCGCAAATAATTTTTCTCTATCACTCCAATCCAAGAGGTAATGCTTCTAAACGGCTCGATTTTAGCCGATTTTTAATGGCGAACTTGATATTTTCGTCCAAAAATATTGTCTGTCTCGAGATTTAACCAATATAAGTCTAGACCTTCGTGCCATCTATAATCAGAATCTTCAGGCTGCGTAATATTTTTCTGATTAAAATATTGAATTGACCTATTTTAAAAATCGGCTCAAATCGATGCGTTTTAGAACCCCATAACACATCAAATTTATGAATAATTTCTCGCGAAAAAAAACCTCCTTAAGCGTAATTTTAGCCGTGTATTTAACGTCGCTGCCTTCCCTTTTGAAGATTGGATTTGGTTTATCCTTGATCACGAAAACAATATCGGCAGGAACATGGCCTGGAGTTTGATCACCTTCTTTCGGAAAAGTTATTTTGGTTCCGCTTTTCCATCCGGGTTTGACTTCTATGCTCAGCACCTTGTCCAGACGGGTCGAGCGTCCGTCCGAGCCTACGACGGTGCGGGTTATTTTCATCTTTTTAGTGCATCCTATTTTTTTCACGAAAAAAATAATATAATAAATCAAACGAAAAAAGTGGCTATTCATAATTATGGAGGAAAGGGATTCAAGCAGGGTATAAATCTAATCAAGATCACCATTAGAGATTCAAAATCGCTTAATTTGAACCGATTTTGTATGACTAGTCACCTTAATAAAATTTTGTAAAGAAATAATGCCGCTTATTTAGTATAATTTTTAAAATTGAAGAGAATGCATAAAATTAAATTATTACAAAAAAATTATTATCTTCTTATTTTTCAAAATCAAAATAATAAATAAAAAAAATTATTTTTTAATATTCATAATCATTATATTTTCCCTCTATTTCCTAAAACAAATTCTAATTTCAAAAAAATTTTTCTCTAAAAAGGAGCAAGCATGATATCAGGCGTCTTTCTCTATCTTAATAAAATTAAACATTATGTTGATATGAAGGCTGATATTTATTTCATTGTAAATTTTGTAATAATATTTATAATTATGATAAACACCACGTAATGTAGTATTTTTCAAAAAAAAAAGAAAAATTAGTATTAATTTGACTTTGTCGTTTAAGGCTAAGTCCAAATTTTTTTTTTAAAAAATTGGAATTGTTTTAAAACTTTCGGAAGTTTTAAAGTTTTATCGTATGTTAAATTTTTGAAATGTTCTAGAATGTTTTTTTTATATTTTTATAATTAAAAAAAACAGCTTATGGCCATTTCCAGACATAACGTATTTTCAAAGCGGTTTTTGGGTAATGTTAGTATATTTTTTTACTTCCAAAAAAATTCTAGTAGTGTTTGCAAAGGTCCGGTCTTGTCCCTTTTTCTAAAATAAGACTGGACCGATGGACCGTTAAGTCAAGTGAAACTAGACCGTGGGACAGCTGGTCCAGTCAGGTTGGTCCGGCCCCTTCTAACAAAATTATTTTTGTTAAGCTATAAAAGTTTATTCTGAATTAAATTTTTTTAAAATAAATGTGTTAAATTACCATATTTTAATTATATCATCAAATAATTTTAATTATATTATACAATTTATTAATGTATTTTATTTGTAAACTAATTATTTGAATAAAATTCAAATCAAGATAACATTATTATAATTGAGTATAACAAAATAATATTTTCACTAAAAATGTATATCTATAATATATTATGTAATATAAATATAGTTCGTAGACGATTACGAATTAGAAAAAATTATAATAACAAAAAGACAATATTGAACATGAATAATAAAATAATCTAAAATACAAAATAAATAAATGCGAAACCAGCAAATTTATCCAAAACTCTCTCCCTCTAATCATCAGGAGAGATTGAATTGATAAAACAAACATAATCAGATATGGCTATTGATATCCTCTTCCTTAATTAAAAGCCTTCACGAGGGTCCCAGAATTTTTCCTGATTAAGCGGCCAACGTCTTATAACTATCTTATATAAAAATGTAAACCCTATTCTATGTAAAATCATTTTTTAAATTTCTATGTAAAATCATTTTTTAAATTGAAAAAATATAATGTTAAACTATCATAAAATTAAATTTTAAAGATATTGAGAATCTGGGACTTCTTTTCAGAGGTTCATATCAGCTTTTATAGTGCCATATTTTAAATTTAATTTTGCTTATTGAAATTTGAATATGGAAAAATTATCATAGAAAAAAGAAATAACTAACAAATGGTGAAATCAATATTTATTGAAAATCTGTCCTTGCTAGATGTTATGAATAAAAAAAACTTAGGTTATGCAACAGTAAAAAGATATAAATCAAAATTAATATTTCAAATTGTCTACATCAATTCAAGAAGGACAAGAAACTATATTATAATAAATGCATCTAAAATGTTTATGAGTTTTTTTGTGTAGATGCTCTTCTTGGGAATATAGATCCTGTTGCAATTTTAATCCATTCTTTATTGTTCAAATTAACAATAAATTTTATTAATTTTTTATTATGGCTATTTTTTATCAATATAGTTGCAATAATAAAATATCATTTTTATGTTTAAAAATAATCAATATTTTGCACGTCAAAAGCGCCTCATGGGAAGCTCTACCCGAGTGTAATTCATCCTTTCCCAAATTTATTTTTCGGAAAAATTAATACTGTTAAATAGGTAGTAGTTTTAATTTTATTGACGTTTGCCTATTAGGAATGCATGCTCCCCGCCTTTTAATTTCAGACAATTTGGCCATGAAACAATTTAACTGAAATATTAATTAACCACATTACCGGTAACATATATGGATACTAAATATTTCCCGGAATTCAATATATGAATATACACGAATAAAATCATCAAGTGCAGTAAGTTATTAAGATACAGATTTGATACTCAGCGCTTGAAAGCATCTTTTTAATTAATTTAAAACCTTATAACTTACTAAAAACGAATATTTACGAACGAAGTTCCATATATTGCTAACCTTTTAGTATATCGTCTAGTTCGACATACAGGTCGCGAAGGACAGGCGGGTCTTGAACGGCTCCGCCTCCTCCTTGTCTTGAAGCTCCTTGACGACCTGGTCTACCTCCACCTCCTCCACCCATCCTGAACAAATTGTGCATTCCACCTCCTCCTCCTCCTGCCACGTGTTGCCCATGGCCCCCGCCAAATAGTGCTTCAAAAGGATCCCCACCGCCCGTGTCCATACCTTCAGGCCCGCCACCCCCCGAGGAAAAGAAAACGCGTGTTCCGCCTTTAGGTCCTCCGCCCCCATCGCTGAAGAAGGCTGCAAACGGATCTTGGCCACCAAAGAATTGTGAGAATATGTCCCTCGGGTCACCCTTGAATTCGTAGTGATAACTGTTGATTAAATAAATACATTAATTATATAAAAAATTTAAATTATTTAATATAAATCTCTTGCAAAATATATTTAAAGGAATTCTTTGGAAATAATACATCCTTTAACTCGCTTCATGTATTTTAAAACGTTTTGTATAATAAAATAATATTTAAAAAGTTAGGTAATGCTCCATTTTTAGCCGTTTTAAATGATCCCCCTAAATATATGGCGGATTTTTAGCCGAAAAATATCATCCCAGCCTCGTTTTTTTTTAAAAATGACAGCGAGAAATGACATAATGGGGAGAAGAGAAAAATCGCCCTGCAATAGGAATAGACAAATTACCCTTACTCAAAGATAAGTACTTTAATATAGAATATAAATTGGTCATAGTGAGACTATTCAAATATAATATATTAGTAAAAATTAACTATTGTGAACCAAATAATAGGTGGGGAGGGTAATATTTTTAAAAATCGTGAAATAGTTTAACCGAGCATAGTACTATGGTCTCATGGGGTTATGCAATAAAGCGTAAATCACTTCGCGATTTATTTAGTATTTTGACATTATTAAAATGGATGAGGAAAATGAATTTTAGTTCACATGATCTATTAAAGTTTATAAATAATTGTAAACAGATAACCTGAAATAAAAAATCAAATAATTTTATATCAGATTATATTCAGCACCCCCTTTAGATGTTATGAATAATATAAAAAAAAATTTATAAACTTGAAATGACTTTTTTTTTAAATGAGTGTCGGGATTTAAGTAAATGTTATTCAAATATAAATCACCATGCCATCAAGTGCCACGATTAAAATACTTTCAAGCAGGGATCAAAACAGTAACGAATATCGGTTCAGGTTTAGATATAAATAATAATATTGATTCGGTTTGATCTAGTAAAAATCTTTACAGCATACTTTTTTTAAAAATATTATTACTATTCTCTAAAAAAATAATAATATGGTGCCATATACAAATAAAATATTTTCGTAATTCTCATTTGTCAAATTATATCTATAAGGAAGATGAACAAATTTTATGGATGAGAACACTTCTATGCACTAGCTTGTAGTGTTGTTAAGCTGTTTGATTTGAGCTGAATGTTAAAAACGGCTAACTCAACGTTTTATTTAGAAAAATATTATGCAAACCTAAAGATTTTTTGCTCATAGTTGACATAAAGGCTTAGACATCATTTAGCCAAATCTCGAGTCTCAGACAATATTTTTCAGGCTAAAATATTGAATTAGCTGTTTTTAAAAATCGGCTCAAATCGAGCCGTAACACTATCTTGGCTAGCTGGCACCGTAAAATAGCAATATATAAAAATAAATTTTCAGTCAAACTCAAAACTAATCATCTTTAAAAGAGTTAGAATATCAAAAGGTCCAAACCGGTTCACATACTTTTTTAGAGGTATGGTTTAGACAATTTTTTTATAGTTTAGGTTCGATAAGTAATATGGATAATGCAGTTTTAAGGTTCAGGTTGAATACCTGCTTTTAGGTGTGTATGACTAAAAATATTTTTAGAGATAAACGGGGCCTTAATAATTAAAATTTTGAAAATATTCTACTAATGAAATAAATCTAACAATTTTTATTCATATATTTTATATATAAATAACAATTTAATAAAAAAATTTTTTTTTAACTCACTTCAAAATTAGAATTCTAACAATTCGTAAATTAGGCATTATGCAATCCTTACAGAATTATAATATATAATGTATCTTGAAGAAAATTTTTAGACGATGTATCTGTATTTAGTAGGGCTGTGCCGATATTAAATATCGGATCGGTCCCGATATTTGGCGTTTTTCAAAAATATCGGATCGGCCCGATACCTGTAAAAAACCCGATCCGATCCTTTTACTAAAAATGCATTCTTATAAAACTTTTGAGTAATGAAACTTTGAATTATTATTTTTTAATAAAAAAAATTTTTTTAAATATTTAAAAAAAAAATAAATTTTTTCGAGTTTCTATTTTACATTAATAATATTTTATAAATAATTTTTTTTAAACAATGCAAATGTTATTTATTTTTTTAAATAGATTTTACAAGTTTTTTTATAAAAATAGAAAGGAACACCCAAAGTTTTATTTATTTTTAATTTTTTAAAAAAATAACACCAATTTTATTATTTATACTTTAAATAAAAATTATTTTAAATATGGTTTCTGAATTATGGAAATATTTTGATAAAGATGAAGGTAATTTTGCAATATGCGTCATCTGCGGAATTCTAATTTCACGGGGAGGAAATACTGAAAAATTCGTTCAATACAACTAACATTAGGAAACATCTGAAGCGTTGCCATCAAAAGGAATTCGAAGAGCTAACACAAAAAGAACGAGAAATATTAGAAAAAACAAATCAAATTTTTAAAAAAAAGAGCCCTGAAAGTCAGCCAACAATATCAGCCATTCTTAATAAAACTAATATTTGGAAACATTCTGATCCTAAATCAATAATAATTTCTAAATTTATAGGGGAAATGATAGCGTGTGACCACCAGCCGATTTCTATCTTGGAGGATATAGGCTTTAAAAGGCTTTTACATCATTTATGTCCAAATTACAAAATTCCCAATAGAAAGTATTTTTCGCAAGGAGTTATTCCGGATATATATGAAAAACTCTCCGAAAAAAATCGTAAAGAAATTTTGGTTGACGATTCTTTTTTATCCTTTACGGTAGATATATGGACTAGAAATTCAGGTGGCGATTCTCACATCTCATTAACATGCCACTATATAAACCAAAATTTTCAACAAATTAATAGAGTTCTAAATGTTAAAACATTTAATGAGTCGCATACAGCAATAAATATTGCTCAAATTTTAGATGAAATTATTAATTATTGGGGTATAAAGAAAAATAAAATACACCTAATCATTAGAGATAATGCACCCAATATAACTTTGGCCATGAAAAATGGGAAATTTCAAAGCGTTTCGTGTTTTGCACATAGTTTGCAATTGGTTGCACAGGCAGCAATTTTATCACAGAGATCTATTATTGACATGCTTGCCCGAATTAGAAAAATAGTAGGACACTTTAAACATTCTTCTATTGCACAAAATTGTCTAAAAGAAATCCAAATTCGATTAAGTCTAGCCCAGCACAAATTAATCCAGGATGTGCCCACCCGTTGGGATTCTACCTATTATATGCTCGAAAGAATGATAGAACAAAAAAGGGCGGTACAGCTGTTCATTATCGATAATCCTAATTTGGGAAATCTCTCATTATATGAGTGGGAATTAGCAGAAAAGGTAATTGATGTTCTTGAACCAATTCAGAGAGCAACAAAAGAAATAAGTACGGAATCATGTTCAATTAGCAATGTTATACCCTTTGTTGAAATTCTGAAAAGTGAATTAACAATTAATGGGGACACAGATAGAGGTGTGCAGACTATGAAGAATACCACTAATAATCAATTAACAACTCGGTTTTTTTATATTTATGATAATGACAATTATGTTGTCGCAACATTACTTGATCCTCGATATAAGGATTTCTTTTTGCCAAAAAACATATCATACATAGAAAAGCTCAGGACTGCATGTGAGTCTTTTTTTAAAGGTGATGATAATGTTCAACTTCCAATTTCTAATAAAGATTCGCCAGGTTTTATATTTTTTAAAATAAATTTAGATTTTATTGTTAACTTAGGTAATGACAATGAGAAAAATGTTCCACATAACATTAAAAAATGCAAATTTAATTTAAGGGATGCTTATAAATTGAAAATCGAAGAAAAACTAGTAATAAATGAAATCGATAGTAATGTAAATGATGACCTGCCATACCTAATAGAAATCAAGGAATATTTAAAAGAATCTTTATATATAGAAAGTATAACAACATATTTTTCATATTAATTTAAATATTGCTTGGTTGGGCTATGATTGACCCATTTGTTTGGGTGATTTTTCAAAATCAACAAAAGATTGGGTTTGTATGAAACCCACTATTTTATAAATGCTAATTTTATATTTGTGTTATTTATTTAGAAAACTCGAATAACATTGATGATATTGATATTATATCCCCAGTGAATCCACTTGAATATTGGAGAGTTAATGCTGTAAAATATCCAACTTTATCAACACTTGCACGTAAATTTTTGGCTCCTCCAGCAACAAGTGTCCCATCTGAGTCTGCCTTCAGTACGGCAGGGGATATTGATAGTCCTCATCGTAGAAGCCTATTGCCCGAAAATCTAGAGGCTCTTATATTTATTAAAAAAAATCTAATATATTATAATTTTATATATTAAATATTACAATTTTATAAACCAACATAAAATGGATATATTATTATATTTTTTTTTAAAAATTATTGTTGAAATAAAAAAATTAAATTATGCATAATTCTTTTATGCATAAAAAATATTGATTTATTAATTACATTTGGTTCAAAGAGGGGTGGTGAAAAATTAATATAAATATCGGATCGGTTTTGAACCAATATCGGAAAATATCGGATCGGATCGGTGAAAAATATGTGGATCGGCACAGCCCTAGTATTTAGATTCATTTTTAGACTATGTATCTATATTTATATATATAAATTTGAAAAATATCTTTTAACAAAGCATTGTTTTAGAGTTCACGGGCAAATTTCACAGGACTAGGATGCCTTCTAAGTTTGAATAATAATATGTCCGACTACGCAGGCTGTTAGTGGCAGGTTAAATATGAAACCCAGGTTGCAATGAGGATCTAGAATAAATTAGATATTTTAATAAGGCAGAATAATCCATTTTCTATTAGCGAAAAAAAATAAAGGCATTCAAGAAAACCGTCCAATTAAAAAATCAATATGATCTTTCGGGCCGATTGCAAGTGACCAGCGAATGTAGAATATCCATAACATAGATGAAGTTGCGATGATTTTACAAATGATGGCGAACCCCCGTTTAAACGGGATATCAAAGTCTATCATCGAATTGATGGCAGGGATCTTATAAAGATAAATATATTAAGTCTTAATCTTGATCCAATGGTATATCCTCTATGCTGGATCATTTAAAAATCTAATAATACTCTATACATATTTCTAGGGTTATAACCTTACTGTTCTCTAATTCTACTGTAAGTTTGACTGCCTCAACTAGGTCTAAATAACCAGAGAAATCATCATGAAACTGTAGCTTATGTAATGTTTAAGCCATTTCGACCTAGGATTAAGGGTTAAGTTTAATGGGTTCATTCCTCATTGCGGAGGATTCAACCAATAAATTTTGTGATTTCAAGGACTCGTATGCATCCTTTGCCTGAAAGTGTGAATAAACTGGTTTAGTGAGGAAGGGACGTATTGAATCATGGCTCAGATGATTACCAACTTGCCAAACTGTGGTGGTCTTGTTTCAGGTAAGATATTTGAAATAGAATATCCCTTGATTTTCCGATTGAAAGAGAGATGAAGTTTAGTAGGGCGGAATACCCGATACCATGTAAATTAATAAAATATCAATTGTTGGTGGATTATATTGCTCAGAAACCTACTTGCTGGTAGACTAGAATAAAATCCGAGTATTTATGAACCAGAAATAATTTGGACCAAGAGGAAAGAGTGGCTTCAAATCATTTGATGATAACTAATTTTCTATCTTAATTTTATTGCCTATCACTTATGTGATTCTAAAACTTTGATTTAAAACTAATGTTAGTAATCAGTAAGACATCAATATTTATCAAATACTTATATAATATACTTTACCGAAATGGCTTGAAGAATGATTGCATTCGCAAACTGCATGCTAGTGCAATCCAAAAAACCTCCTTATATCCCACGAGCCTCAATAAAATTATATTCACCCAGGCCAATTAAGATGAAATTTTATTTATCAAAGACAATTACGAATAAAATTAATTTTATAATTATATATTCTTGCCATATTTTTTTGTGCCTCATTCGTATATATTGTATTTAAATTTAGTTTATATTCAATATATGAATAAAATATTATATTTAATGAATTAATAAATAAAATGGCAATTTTTCAATGAATAATCATGCTAAGGCCATACCAACGCGTTACCCTGCATTCATAATTAGCACGAATTCGCGACGAAATATAGCTGTATTTTCGTGTTTATGTATACTTCGCCACGTTCGCGCTAACTGTGATTGCAAGGATAAGCAAAATATTAAAAAATAGCAAGCCAAAAATCGAGCGCATCGATTCTAAAAAGCGCGTTCGCATATTAAAATTTTTTTATCGTCTGCTTGCTAGTTGTATTAATTCCGAATAATTTCCACATTTTAAAAGTGATAGGTGAATATACAATTTTATTATTTTTTTTAATTTCCCAACAACGTTACACGAAGTGCATAAATGTGAAATTGGTTTAGTTTTTTTTGAGAGGGAAGGGATGATGAGCGGATAAATTCAGTTATGATTTATATTTACATAATATAGTGGTAAAAAAATATCGTGACAAATAGTTGAAAGTGAGATGGAAAGATCAAGATAAGTTATATGATGTAATTTATTAAAATCGGATAAATTGTAATAACAAAGCAATATGATATAACGCTTATGAGGTGAGAAAATTAAACTAAGGTATTTTTTTTAATGATAACAATTGACAATTTCGGCTTTTTTCTCTTTATATTTTATATGTAATATCATTTTAATTACCTAATATAAATGGTTAAACCTTATTCTCAACCTAACTTTCTTATCATAATCTATCAAATATTTTAAATTATTTGTTGCATATAATATTATTATTTGTCCAGTCTAACTAGTTCTGCAAATTTTATTTTCCGGCTCAAAAAATCATGAATTTCGTTCTTATAAAATGATCTTAAGTCCAAGTCGATTTTTTTCTTTCAAATAAATTCGAGCCCTGCCCAAATTTTATTAAAATTTAAGGAACGTTTAAATTTCTAAATCAAGCTTAGGGGAAAATAATTACCTTTTTGAATAATATATAAACATAAAAAAACAAATTATAATGAACTAACCCAGCCCCACCGCCGGGCCCAGGGGCGGCTCCACCCTTAAGACCTTCTTCGCCGTATTTGTCGTAGATCTCTCTTTTTTTGGCGTCGCTTAACACGTCGTATGCCTCGGATATTTCCTTAAATTTCTCCTCTGCACCGGCAGATTTGTTTTTATCCGGATGATATTTGAGCGCCATCTTGCGATAGGCCTTCTTTATCTCGTCATCCGTGGACTTTTTATTGGTGAGGCCTAATATAGTGTAGTAATCTTTTCCCATGGTTTGTTATTTGAACTTAGAATAGTTATCCCAAACTTTTATTTTTGGATTTAAAAACAGGGGTTTCCTGATAGACTTATAAATACCTGCAAAAATATTGAAATGTTAAGAATAAAATGGATTAAATTGATATTTAATCAAGTGGAATCTCGGAGAAAAATCCCTAATTGTAAAAAATTTGTATATTTAAAAAGGTTTTATAAAGGAAATAATTGCTATCTCTAAAATTTGGATATTTTTATAGTGTCTTTTTGTACAACACATTCCTGTCTGAGATTCCTTCAATGAAAGCTAAAAAAACGGTAGCTATTCGCTTTCAAATAAATTTTGAAAAATGTCTAAATTTATTTTAATATCTGGCCATTATTTTTTTAAAAAAAAATTTGATTAATTAGTTTTTTAAAATAATATATCACCATATATGATTATAACAATATCATAAATAAATATAACATAAGTTATTTAAAATATACTACATCAAATTTTAATAAACCTATTATTTTTTGCTTATATGTTGTAATTTTTTATGATTCAGAAAGTCTTTCTATCATATAGAAAGTAGTATCCCACCTAGTAGATTTATAATTATTGGAAATTGTTACAATATCATAAACATTCTTATAAAAATAGATTATATATTATTATTTAGTTTTATAATGAGTATAAATTTGCAATTTTATAATTATCTATATATATATATAATCACCGTAATCAAGAAATGAACGTTTTAATAATCTTAATGTTAATTTTTATTTTTCCTATCATCATAATTTTAAAATTTTCTATCAACTTTCCTATCCTCTTAATGTTAAATAAATCGATGGAGTCATATATCTCTAATGTTAAATTTTAAGAAAATTTTTTGTACATCACAGATTTGAACCTATGACTTAACGATTTTAAGGCAAACTTTCTTCCACTCAGCCACCTTCTATATTAGATTTTGTAAAATAATCTTTCTTATATATGTTATTATTTTGCTATTAACATATTTTTCAATTAATTTATATAATTTAAATCTTATTGTGTTATTTTAAAAAGAATACGAACCTCACCTCAAATTATGGTAAGAATGAATATTATTAAATTTAAAATAGTAAATTAAATTATATTTAAATTGATAAATAAACATTTATCTCATATTAATTTTAGCATAAGTATTTATATTCAATCGTAAAATTTACTAATTTTTATATTACAATTTAGATTTAACAAATAAATTTAAATTATTTAACACCCCAAAATATAGCAGTAAATTTTTTTTTATCTCAACCACAATATGGGAGCTCTGCAAATAGTATAAAATACCTATTTATCAATATCTTCCCATGCCAGAAAATTAACCTCCCTCACTAATCCTACTTATTATAATTTAGATTTAACAAATAAATTTAAATTATATTTAGCCAATTGAAAAATAAACATTTATCTCATATTACCACCCCAAAATATGCCAATATAAAAATTTTATCTCAACAACAATATTTGAACTCTGGAAATGACATAAAATACTAATTTATCAATATCTACCCTACATTTTTAATTACAATTTCATATATTTTAGGATAAATTTAATGAAATGAATAAATACACTAAAATTTGTCATTTATTTTATATAAAAAAATGTATTTAAAAAAAAATTTCATATACAATGTTGTGATGATTTAATGAAACATATTGACGATTTAATTTAAACACATGCAATAATAATTATAATCTTTAATAAAAGAAATTTCAATAATGCATTGTCATTTTAATTATTTTTGCAAATATTATCATTTTATATGAATGTATTTTAATTTAATTGTCAATATGTTTCATTAAATCATCACAACACTGTAATAATTAAAGATTTTATTATTTCCGTCATTTTTGATGGGTTATCAACTAGTAATAAATATATATTTTCTAATTTAATTTAGTTCTTTTTAAAACAATAACTTTTGAAAAAAAAACTTCCACATTTTATAAACAAAATTTATTTTCCTGTCTTATAAAATTTAATTAAATGAAATATAAATCTTCATCTCAACTCTCTTCAGCAATGCAAATTTGTTTATAAAAATTTAATATCTTTACCAAAACGTTTATAATTTAACGGATGCTCGGATGATCTGAGTGCAGATTTTTGTCCCACAATAAATAAAGTTTATCTATGGAAACCAAAATTAAACTAGTAAAACTTTGTCAACCTTCTACAGTTGATACAAAAAAATCAAAACCTAAAAAACAAGATTTAAAGGAAATATTTATTATGCAGCCACTATATAAGGTGGGCCTAATTCTAGATCAACCAAATTTTATTATTTTAAGTTTTTAATTGACAATGAAAAGAAAAATATATATAAAACAACCTTAAAGTAAAATGTTATAAAATTAGATATGCAAAGTCCCATCATTTATAACTTTTATATTTCATCTTGCACATAAAAACCATATATTCTGAACATTTAGAGAAAGAAGATTCTGGTGGAGCATCAATATCTACTAATCAAAGTTAAGATTAAAAGATAAACAAATAACTGATAATATTTAGGAAGCAGGAAAATTCATTTTCTTTTTTGAGAAGATTAGCTATTAAAATTTTGTCAACCCTGGCTAATTCAACTTCTAGTGAAAGGTTATTTTCAATCTAAATATTTGTATACTTAATATTGAGAATTTAAAAAGTACTCTTATACCTCTACTTTAGAATTTGATTAAATTTCAGTATTTATAAAAACTTAATAAAACACATTTTTTTAAAAGGCAATAAGTTTTTTAAAATATAGACCTAAAATTTATTCATTAATAAAATAATATATAATTAAATATAATAATCATATGAAAAAATTATTACAATCTAAAACATAATTTAATGGAAATATTTTAAAAAAAATTGTAGCAAATGGTACCAAGTCTAAACTATTATATATTATCTATATTTAATGCCTAAAAACAAGATAGATGGCTGCTAGTTATTAAATAAAAATAAGTATAAAAAGTATTACACTTAGTTCATAAAATATAAGTTATTGTTTAATCGTATGTAAAATAATAGCTTAAGCAAGATTATTATGTAAAAAATTAAATGACTCAACATCTATCATACTTTTTCAATCGATGGCAGAATTTTCGAGAATAGATTTATCATCCCGAAATCCTCTAGGAATTTTATTAATAAAAATTTCGTTTTTTTTTAAAATAAGTTTTCCTAGATTTTTATAATTACTGAATTAATTTTATACATTTGAAGAGAGACGAAATGTGTAAGAGTTCTATAAAAATAAAGTAGGGGATAGGGGTGAGTATAAGATTAAGCGTATAAGCATATATTGGGGTAGAGGGTAAGGGGGGGATAAAAAAAGGAAGGTAAGGGTAGGGTTTACATGACTATCTTGTCTGATAATATATTCATCAAAATAAATTTTGGAGCGTTATTTGATATAAATATAAATCAACTGGTCACACGGCATTTTAGTTTCCCATATAAGTACTCTAATTTTTTAAATATTTTATGGAATTTTAACTTATTTATATGAAAATTAAAATTGCATATCAACGGCTGATCTGCATAGAAAAACACAACTTGGCATTCTAGAATAAATCAAAAGATTTTATTATTTTAAAATATTTACATTGTGATCAATGACATATGTTTATAGAATAAGTTTATATAAGGAAAATAATAAGTTAAATTTGAATTTTTAATATAAAATAAAATAAATAAATGCAGAAATATAAATAGTGAAGAGGTCATTCGAAATTGGTTGTTATTTAATAAAATGTGATAAAAGTATGAATTTAATAAATCTGCCTATTGCAACATACCACTTTTTAAAATTCAAAACTACTTCTTGTTGTGTTAGTCAACTACTTGTCATTGCTTGAATATCCAGATTCAATCTTTATCGTATTACGTAAATAATCTTATTAGTTGTGCCTCTCTTAGTTTTATCGAACTTTTTCGTATATTTGAATATTAATATGCGCTTGTTAACCATTATTTAATTTTGTTCAAAATTTAAATTTATCAGCCCATAACTTTTATCTTGAAAAACGTGTTACAACGTTTAGAATTAACGTAAACTTGAGATTGAACAGTTAGGTTTTAGCTAGCACGATGGTTTATTATTATAGTTAAATATATCATATTTAGTTTTCTGCATATTTTACAAATATCACGTTTTTTTAGAATTATACACCAATAATTCATAGCATATCGTCGCCTGAGAATTATATTATTCAATCACCATTTTTTCCAATTTTACAGGAGATCAATTATAAAAATTCTTTATCTGTGTTTTAATTATTAGATATGTTTTCCTATTTTTTTTAAGTTTAGGATGTTATATTTAATAGTTTCTCATTACTTAATTTTAGTAGCGTTACTAGGAGGGGGGGGGGGTGCAGGGCTCTAGTCCCCTGAAATATTTGAAGAGACCCCTCAAAATTTGGATTTTTTTTGTATAACTTAAAAAAAAGTAAGTTACTAAAAAAGAAAAAAGTAACTTTAGATAATAGCTAAAAAATGTAATTATTTTAGGTAATGTTAGCAAAAAATAAATAAAGGTAATTTTGAAAATAATTATAAAATTTTTTTTGAGATATATTTCTCAAAAAATGTTTTTTTATTATTCTAAAACTTGAGATAGAAAAAATACCAAATTTTATTTTTATTATCTAAGAAATATTATTTTATCTCCAAACAACTCATCTTTAAATTTAAAAAATATTATCAATGATAATAATTATTAATGTAAACAAGACAACATACTAATTTTTTTTACAATTTGAAATATAATATTTGAATGAAGTGGATAAAAAATTAATATATTCTTTAAATAATGATAAAAAATAATTTTATAAAACCATATAATCAGTTAAAATAACTCTTAATTCTATTTACGTAATGAAAGTGATTTAAAAAATAATATGCTGTTATGGCTTGACTATTTTTTTTAAATGGAATAATTTAATTTAATAATAAGAAGAAATAGGGAGATAGAATTCATATATCTATAATTAATTTTATATGTTAAAGGTTTTAGACTTTTTGATATAAATAGATTAATATGTTTTCAAATAATAGATCTATCAAAAAAAATATATGATTTTTGATAAAAAGTCGAGATTAATCTAATTCTCAGGCGACGGTATGTTATATATTATCAAATTATTGTTTTCATCATATATTTGTTATTATCATATTTTTGCTCGTGCATATAAATTTGCTATATCGGCTTATATTGTTGTAGTTAGACAGGATATTATTGATAAAATAAATTTCATAATTTGTTTCGCGAGTTACCTGTGAGTCGTTCTCCCAGCATTGTTACCTCCATTATAAAGAAGTCAATAGTTCCTTCTCACTTCAATATATTTACAAATTTTTAGGTTGTAGTAATTTATTTTCTGAGGGGGGGGGGTTGGTCAGTGGGTAGCCCATTGCAATTTCTCCAATGTTAACCTCCATTCGGTCGTGGAATTAAAGTATTTTTAATTTTTAGCCTACCCAGGCCTTAATAAATTTATTAAGCCCGGCCCAGGTCCGTATTAAAAAAATTTTTAGGCACAAGCCCGGCTCATATCCAATATAAATTTCTCAAGCCCGACCCAAGCTGATTTTTAGTTTCAAAAAAATCAAGTCCGGTCTAAAACCATTTTCAAAAGATTTAATTTATTAAATGCATTTATGCATTTATGCAATCATTTAGTTTACAATACTGAAATTTAAATTACTAGAAGAAAAGGATGAGCATATTTCTTAAAGTTAGCAGCTGTATTAAATAAGCTAAATTTAAATTTAATAATTTTAAACTCAAGCCCAGCATAAAATTATTATAAAAAAAATAAAAACCCAGCCAATGCCAGATAGAAAATATGATGGTCCATATCGGCCCAGCCTAGACCATGCAGGTCTCTGAGCTTGCTAAGTATCCATATATTTGAATTAAGTTTATCATCATTTTAATTTTTTATATTATATATTTTTTAAAAATTATTTTTATATTCTTCCTAGTCTCCTTTTTATTCTATTAATATAGAATTTATGATTTAATACTTTTTTTATTTTATTGGTAATCTTTTATTGTATCTAATTTTAAGTATCATTGAGATATCAATCAGAAGATACCATCTTTTTCCCCCGTCTGCCACCTTGATGGAAACCCAAGGTTATTGTCGTATTATTATTTAAAATTATTTATTTTTAAAAATTATTTTATTTAATATTTAACAAATTTTTAAATAGTCGCTTTTTTATATATCACGTGTAGCTCGTGATCAAGTATAAAGGGGTTAGATTTTATAATTATTATGACTTTTATGATTTTTTTGAAATATATTTAGTCAATAAAATTTTGAGTTGTAAATTTATTAATTTTAGTTTTAAAGTTAATTGTTAGAGTTAAAAAATAACGTTGTATTGGTAGGTTTTTTTTATAGTGTATAATTATCATAGTTATAAGCTAGAAACAGAAAATTTTATTATCAGAAAATATTTACATTGTGATATTTCTATATAAAAAGTTTAAGTTTATAGAAGGAAAATTATAGGTTAAATTTTAATGTTCTAATATAATATAAAATAAGTAAAAGTAGAAATATAAATCACGTAAAGGTCATTCAATATTACTTAATAAAATATGATTAAAAGTAAAAATTAAATCATTTGACTCCTGCAACAATCTATAAAAGTTCCCATGGTTGAAGTTCAGAAACAAAAAAATAAAAGGTTACGATTCGACTATGGATAAACTGATTAAATTTTAAAAGTTAGTTCTTGGTTTTAAGAAAAATACATAAAGTTTTTGGGTTTTAAATTTTTAAAATATTTATTTGAAATTTGTTTTAAATAAAAAGATAAAAAGATCGTAAAATGGTAAATTAATTCTATTGAATTTAAAAAATATATATTAGATACTATCATATTATTATAGTTATTTAAGATTTATCAGTAAAAATATGATTATAACTTGTAAATAATATGTTTCTTAGCTATTCAATATTTAATTAAAATAAGATTTGATGTCTGTAAATATCAGTCCGGTCCCGGTCTAAGACCGATAGGACCGGACCGTTGACCTTCACTAGTGGTGAGTAAATAACGATGAATTACAAAGCATGAGAGATCAAAGTTTTATAAAAAAAATTAAAATACAATATAGGTATGGGGTAGAGTAGGTAAATTAAAAAAAATAATATATCGCCATAATATAAATGAGTGTCTATCAATAGCTTATTTATTGAACAGGAACAATGATAAATAATTCTCAAGTTATTTTTATAAGATAGGATAAAATAAAATATCACTCGGAGACGAAATGGCAAACTTAAAAAAAATTGAATCCTTATGAATAGATTTAGAATAACTTAAATAATATAAGTATCGTAATATGTTATGTGATAAATGTGAAATCCTATTTAAATAATAAAAATAGAAAACCCCGTATCTAATGTTGTTAAACGGCTAAGTCGAGTCGACTTAGGCTAAAATCTAGTCAAGTTTTGAGTCGCAAAACTCATTTCAATTTGAGCGGCTCAATGAGCCGCATGAGTCGGCTCGATGAGTCAGCTTTAAGTAAACAACTTTAACGAGTATAATATATAGAGGGACTCTGAAGCCGACTCATCGAGCCGACTCTGAAGCCGATTCATCGAGTCGACTCATGCGGCTCATTAAGCATTAATTTGAAATGAGTTTTGCGACTCCGACTTGAGTTCGGAGTCGTAAAAACTCGACTATTTAACAACACTACCCGTATCGTCCTTTTTATTGAGTTATACAAAAAAATTAGCAGGAATATAAAGGAGTATTGTTAAAAAAGGTAAGATACTTAAGAATAGATATATACTTTTAATTAAATAAAAAAATTATTGTAATATATATATCTTTTTTTAGAATAGATATAAATCCAATATAATATTATTTAAATAATAAAAATAATATATTATGTATATATTTGTGAGTTATACAAAATAATCAGTAGGGATAATAAAGCATTGTTTGACCCGACAAAATGACAAGCTTTAAAAAATGTAGGATTTTTTAGAGTAGATATATAAATTTATTTAAATAATAAAAATAATGTAATATGTAATTTTTCTGTGAGTTATGCAAAATATTCATCAGAGATAAAAGGGCATATTGTTTGGCCCGACAAAATTTAAAATAGATATATAAATTTATTTAAAATTATAAAA